CTTTTCAGCTTATAGCTATATAAACTTAAAACCGTTTAGAAATCCAAACCGCTTGAATAAAGTTTACATAAATATAATTAATAGGTAAAGTTTGAACACTTCGTGCTAGTTTATTCGTCTTTTTTTTTGTCATAAGTTTATTCATCTTTATATTATGTGTTTTTGATATAATAATTTATCTAATTCTTTTTCTTCAATTACATGATCACAAAATATCATCAGTATTACCCATTTTATCATTTACTATGAAAGAATATAACCTCATAACTTCTGTTTCTAATTGGAATGTTAATCATGGACACTGAAGAACACAATTAGAGGCGGTCATGACTTTAAATTAGTCAACTATGTGTTTGGGGCCAACAAAAATTATAGGAACCGTTTTTTTTTACCAAAAAGATCTGTAAATCTACTGGTGTATGGCTTTTCTTTGTGAAATGCAGGTCAAGAGTTCGAATCAATCAAAATATTTCTTTGTTTATCTTTTTATATGAATAGTTTTTTTTTTCTTTTGATAAATTTTTTATATGAATAGTTTATATTTAATGGACCAACAAAATTTATGTTTGGAACCCTCAAATGTTTGCATTACGTTAGAAATTTACAGTAATTATGTTTCCATTAATGTACATAATTTATATCCATTGTAGAAACATTTCGATCACTAAACTAATGAGATTCCCACAATAGTTTATCTAAATTGAATAATTAGAAAATGTATTACCTAGAAGAAAAAAAAAAGATACTATAAGAATAATAGCCTAAAGAGAAACCATTAACTTTAAGTTCGTCACTCCTAAGTCCTAACCAACTTTCGGAAACAATAACCTTTTTTATTCAAATATAATAACATTTGATTCAGATATATATAAACTATTAGTAGTTATATAAAAATCACATATAAGAGATGCATGACTTTTGAAAAACAAAAATCATCGACTAAAATATTTAGTTATATAAAAGATCAATTAAAAAATTTAACATTTATATATACCTGTTTTCTGTTTTGAACAAAATATTTCGCAAGAACAAATTTCATCTTTTTGTCCTCATAGATGTCCATTTGGTGAAGTAACTAACTTTACACAAAAGAACAAATAATGTGAATTCAACAATAAAGCAAACTACTAGTGTTTGGTTCTGCATCCAAAAAGTGAACAAAGCGGATATAAGAAACAATAGATAAACATTTTAAAGGTTTTACTAATGGGGGTTTTATTTGAATGTCATAAGCAATTTGCTTAATCAATACAACTAATAAATATATTTTTCCAACTCACCATGAGGTGGACGTAAAGCTAAAATTGACCATGTTCTGACTGGTGTTCACATTTTCATTTCTCAAACAATTTATAACCCGATTTTTTATGGAAAAAAACAGCTTCAACTATTAAGTGTTTATATGAATCCAAATGTGATGAACATTGATAAATTTTAAAATAGAAAACTTAATATATTGAAACACATCTACCGATCTGTATAAAGAATACTATTTATGTTCATATAGACTATAATTCTATAGATACAATTTTGTTAACAATTATTTAATTGACAAATCTA